TAAGGGAGTTCGGCGGCAATGGGTTAGTTACTGGTATAGTATCCCTACCTATAGCAATGGTGGCCTAACAAAGCTTAATGATGATCAAGATGTCATTGACATGCTTGTATTTGTACCAAAGACAAGGCTATAGACATCTAGACGTTTAGGAACGGAATTGGAATAGAAATTTCATTCCGAAATTTTTTGGATTGGAATTGGAATCCCCAACCATAAGCGCACTTAACGGTTTGTATATGAAAATAGACGGAAGTGGTAAAGTGAGAAAATTTCAGCAATTTTTAGATATTAGGTTAAGTAAGAAAATTTCAATTTCAGAGAGTAAAGTCTCACCGAGCGTCTGTTTTAGGGGTAAAATAGTAATCAAGCCTAATTATTGACTAATGCAAAGCATGTTACTACTACCCATACATTTGATATCCAACCTTCTCACATTTATTGACTGGTCTTTCATTTTCATCTTTTAGAGTGAGAGAGTAGTGAAGCTTCAAACAAACTACAATGATTGGTGGGTGATATATTGAAGAAAAACTCATGGATTTGTCAATACATAATTCAGAATTGAGAACTCTTTGTTTGCTCAAACAAAACAATGTAGTAATGTAATTAGAACATAACAGGTGAGGGCTGCTCTTGAGATTTTAATGGCCTATGTGAAACGTAAATTGGGACCTCACATGATTTAACAGCAAAATACAAGATTAAAATAAAATTTATGACGACTTAACTCCCTAAAACATTTTTTTTTAGTTCCAAGGATATTCTATTCTAAGGAGGGGGGGGCGGGGGGCGGTGATTTCGAATCCAGGCCAAGTGGGGTAAGAAGGGAAACGGCAAACCACTAGGCCACTCCACGTCTTCTAAAACAATTTTTTTAACTGGAATTCATCATTAGTTAACATAATGAGCTCAACAATCTTTTAGCAAAACATGCCTAGTCTAGTGGTGTGGTGTGGTAATCTGTTGGTCATCAATCCCATGCTCGATTAGGTCATTTTATGGAGAAATTTTTGATATTTTGTAAAATGAAGTAGAAAAGAAATCATCGGAGCAAACAAGTGGGACTGAAACTCGTGCCTCTTTTGAAATTAAAAGTGCAACAAACCAACTCCACTGGTGCCACAAATTTTATAAATATGTTGCACTCACGTTTATATAATATACACGTAAAAAAAAATTTGGGGGATCCTTAAAAATTGAGGCCCTGTGCGGTGGCACCACTTGCACAATGTCAGGACTGGCCTGTGACAGGTGGCTCTTTACTCTAGTCGGGCTCTCTCAAGTTAACGCCACCACCACACGACGCCACTTGGGGCGGCACCAGTCCA